TGAGCTGTAGGGTCTTATATAGACAGGTGTGTGGCTTTCCTAATCATGTCCAATCAGTATAATCAAACACCGCTGGACTCAAATGAAGGTGTAGAACCATCTCAGGGATGATCAGAAGAAATGGACAGCACCTAAGTTAAATATATGAGTGTCACAGCAAAGGGTCTGAATACTTATGACCATGTGATATTTCAGTTTTTCTTTTTTAATAAATCAGCAAAAATGACAAATTCTGTGTTTTTCTGTCAATATGGGGTGCTGTGTGTACATTAATGAGGAAAAAAATGAACTTAAATGATTTTAGCATATGGCTGCGATATAACAAAGAGTGAAAAATTTAAGGGGGTCTGAATACTTTCCGTACCCACTGTAAACCACGCTACCCAGTGTCATCCTCATGAACGCTAGATCCATCTGCTGTAAATTCCTCTGTTCATGAATGCTATGTGATGATTATGGAAATGTGGCTACACCCGCAAAATCCCAATCCTGCAGGAAAGCTAGGAGCAGGCTGCACCATCCAGCACTTTGACAGGAACAAAGACTCTGGCAAAAAAAAGGGGGGGGGGTTTGCTTGTATTTCAGAATCAGAATCAGAATCTGCTTTATTGGCCAGGTGTGTCAGACACATGCGGAATTTAAACAAGGATTTAAACAATAGTGAGACTTTATATACACACTGCTCTCCTGACTTGGAAGCAATTACAGTGTTATGTAGACCCTTTTATCTGCCTTGAGAGCTTACAGTAGTGATCATCACTGCTGTTTACGTCCCTCCCGATATTAATGTTGGCACAGCTCTTGATCACCTATATGATATGATCAGTAAACAGCAGCATGCCTATCCCAACAGAGTGGTTACAGAGCACTACCTCTCCCACATCTGGGAGAGACCCTAACCCTGTCAGACCGTCTCTCACTGCTCCTCATCCCAGCACATACACACCTCTGGAGAAAAACCAAGCCAACCATAAAAACTATCAAAACCTGGCTGGAGGATGCCTTCTTTCAGCTGCAGGGCTGTTCTGCACACACTGCGTGGACCGTATTTGAACAACTGGACTTAGTGGAGTACACTGAAACAGTCCTAGGTTACGTGAAGTTCTGTACTTATAATGTCACTGTGGATAAACGCATATGTGTTTACCCCAGTCAAAAACCACAGATGACCAGGGAGGTGCAGTCTCTATGGAGAACCAAAGACATAGCTTTCAGGTCAGAAGACAAGGCCCAGTATAGTGCAGCTAGAGCAAAGGCATCGAGGCTGCCAAAGTGCTTTCAGTGCTGACGCCTCACTGGCAGATGAGTTTAACCATTTCTTTGCTCACTTTGAGGTAAAGAGGCCCCACATGGTCACGCTGCCACTGTGGGTTCTCTCTTCAGGAACACCAAGTGTGATGGGTGCTCAGGACAGTGAATCCAAGGGCTGGGCGTGATGGTATAATTAGCAAGGTGCTCAAAGCTTGTGCTGAACAGCTGGCAGGAGCACTTACCAAGATACTTAATCTGTCCCTCATGCAGGCCACCATTCATTCCTGTCTAGTCAGCTACCATGATCCCTGTCCCTAAAAAGCCAGCTATTGAAAACAGCAGTGATTACAGACCAATTGCACTGACATCTGTAGTCATGAAGTGTTTTGAATGACTCACTGTACAGCACATCAAAGCCATCCTCCTGCTTTCAACCCCCATCCGTTTGCTTATAGAGCAAACACATGCACGGGAGACGCCATCGCTACATGCATGGCAACAGATAGGAAAGCTCCGCAGAGGGTGATAAGTATGGCAGAGAAAATCACTGGCTGTTCTCTGCCCTCCCTGGAAGACATGTCCAGTTTTCACTGTCTCTGCAGAGCCAGGAAAATCATAAGACCTCTCCCATCCTGGCCAGTCTTTGTTTACCTTGCTGCCCTCTGGGAGGCAGTATAGGAGCATAAAAAGCAGAACAAAAAGACTTGCAAACAGCTTCTTTCCCTGGGTCATTAGAACCTTTAACTCTTCAATCCTATAAACGGATTGAAGGTTCTTATTGTGTGTCGGTTTTGTGTGCTTGGTGTTTAATCAATTTTATCAATTGTAACTTCTACAGTTGTAGCCGACTTAAAACTCATTGTATTGGTACAATGACAATGAAGGCTTCTGTATTCTACATAGTAAGTGGATGATAAGTAGGATCATCACTAAACAAAGGGGTGGTCTACAACACCACCAAGTGCAGTCCTGACACATTCACAACTTGAGCCGTGAACCCCCTTCCAGTTCTCAGTCTTCAAGAATCTCAAACAAGTCCAGTGCCAACTTTAGCATGTTTGGATAGTCTGAGTTGTAAAGGTGTGATTGTCTCTCTCTCTCTCTCTCTCAGGACGTGAAGTGGGTAGAGGAGAAGCAGGCGCTGTATCAGCGCAATCAGGAGCTGGTGGAGAAGGTGAAGAAGATCAAAACACACAGTATCATTCAATGTGACTTCATTTGCTTTCACACAGTGACATGGCTGCAGAGGTGGAGGTGATGGTGCGGGTCTGCCTCTCTTGAGCACACACTCCACTGTGCTGCTGCTGTTGAAGTTCATGATTGTTCAGCTTTATCAGTATGATACTGCAGCTTGCTGTGTGACCACAGAAACCACCTAAGGTTGATGGTATGTTGCTGATGTGCTGCAGGTGAAGCAGATGGAGGGGGAAGAGCTGCGATTGAAAAACGATATTCTAGATGTCAAAGATCAGAATGAGCTGCTTGAGTTTAGGATCTTGGAGCTTGAGGTAAAACACTCTGACAGATAACAACAATGAGTTCAAATAGTCAAGTCGCGTGATGCACACTCTCTCTGTTTCTGTGGAAATGTGCAATCACTGTTCAGGAGAGGGAACGACGATCACCTGCCATTAACTTCCAACAACTCTATTTCCCAGAAGGCCTCAGTCCTCTGCAGATCTACTGCGAGGCAGAGGGAGTCACTGTAAGTAACACGAGTACACCTGTAAATACACCTGTGTATAACTATAAACATCTGAGTATACATGTGTAATAATTTTTTTATCTGAGTTGTTCTTTTTTATCGGTCAGGACATAGTGATCAGTGAGTTGATGAAGAAGCTGGACATTCTGGGAGATAACGCCGTAAGTGTATGTTGAATTTATTTTGTACATGTACGTGGCTATTACAGTTTAAAGGTGTTGTATACAGTGCAAACTACATCACCAGAACCAGCAGACCTCTGTGTTTAGTTCTGACTATGTAGAGTTTACAGCAGCGTCGCTGTAACAGTTGATCCTGATTGTGACTATGGCCACTGTCATAAGAATTTCCAAAGAAGCCACGAAGTCACTGGAATCTTTCAATAAGAAACTGGTTTACTTGCAGCAGGGAGACAAGTCAGCATGGGCATACAGAGTTGTCTGAATGAGCTTAGTCTAAACATCAAAGGGGAACTCCCTAAAGATGCAGGCGTTAATCTAGTTGACAAGAAGATTCAAACAGGAAAAGTGAACTTGAGAGGCTTTGCCCTGATAACCCCTCAGACAATAAACAATATGTTGTCCGTTCATCTTCACAATATATGGCAGGAAAGAGTTTATGGCTGGCTCCTTTAAGTCTGTAATGTCATCTGGCTGAACATATAACAACACATAGAGTACTGAAAACAAAGGTAAAACATGTCCTTTGGTTCACACAAGCAGTGTCTCACAGGTCCCTGTGATCTGTAGTCTGTTCTGAAAGGTTAAAATCCTTTGAATAAAATATGTTGGTTAATATATTGATTAAAACACAGTTTAAAACATAATAATGTAATTTTCATGACAGCCACATCTAACCTCATCTGCTGTTGAAGCTTCAGTCTGTTGCAGTAAATCCATCTGAAACATAAATCAGAATGAGCTCTAAAACACACCTGTGGCTCCACACTGCCTCTTTCATTCACATTTGACATGTGGTCAGTGTGTTTGTATTTTGTTGGCATACTTCTGTTTGACTCAGCTGATGATACATGATATGACTATGTTAATGTTTGTCAGTTTTATTGATGACATGTTTGTGGTATCACTAGTAACAAGCATAAAAATAATGACAGGTGAATTTGAAAAAAGTTGGACAAATTTTTAATCTCGGCACTAAAGGTAAACATAAAATCAGCTACAAAACACCTGTTATCTTAAAGTACTGTTTACATGTTATTGACATGTCATCATTTTCAAAATATTTCATTAACATAGTGTGTTGTTATCATGTTATTTACATACTGCATGTTTCCCTGTAGAATCTGTCCAATGAGGAGCAGGTGGTGGTGATTCATGCCAGGACGGTGCTCACTCTAGCAGAGAAGGTGATACAAAAACTGTTTACCTGTTTAAAGGACTTTGCCTTTCTGTGCTGAACTTTGAGGCTGTTTTAGATGTCAGAGGTCCTGCTGAGCCTGTTGGTCAGAGTGCTCATCTTTCTTTAGGTTAGAAAATCTGTGGTTTTCTTTTAGGATAGTAACTGTGCTTTTGGAATATGTTAAACCTGCACAGACCTTCAGAAGGGTTCTATTAGTAAAGATGTTTTTCTGTCCATCTGAGGGGTCCTGGATCATAGGTGGAGAAACTCTGGTTGAGAATGAGGCATGCAGGATGTCATTTCTCTTTACCTGTCTGTCCCTCTCCACCCGTCTCTCTTATCAGTGGCTGGAGTCCATCGAAGTGACAAAGTCAGCTCTGCAACAGAAGATGCGGGACATAGAGAGCGAGAAGGTCTGTACCACATGTAGCGTCCTGATGGCCCTCCTGCGCAAGTATGTTGACTTACACAGGTTAGGCTTAAGTGTTAGGCTAACTCAGCCCCAAAAACACTAAGGCTGCCCCCTGAAAGTCGACTAGTGGAATCATTAGTTGAGAGACTTGTGGATCAACTGGATCAACTGGGACTCTTCTAGTTGAATCTTTGTTTTTATTTTAATATATTTTATTTTTTGTCAGCCAGTGTACATTACAATAGAAGGTAGCCCGATGACAATTAGTTTTTCATCATCTTCTCCCCATTTGGTGTCCCAAACAGCAATTTGCTCAATGCTCCCCGCTATGGTCGTGGGGAATATCCCCTTCAGTGGTGACATTGTATGATGCATGGATGTATAAGGTCTGATGACAATATTTAGCAAACTGTTGCCCAGAACAATGATGATAACGAAGAAAATCCACCAGGACAAGACACATAAAGGTAAGATTTGCACTTTATTATAAGTGACTGTAACACTGTGGTCTAATTTTACAAGAGAAAGGACTTTAATGGTCGCGACGTGTTGCATATGTGCATCCGGTTTATTTGCCTATCTCAGTTAAAGTGTAAACATTAACACACAGTGGTTTACTGACTCTTTGTGTGACATGCATTTACTGAACGGGACTAGGAAGTTAACAAAAATGCACTGGGAAAACATTTTAATGAGTAATTGCAAATAACAATCCTAAATATATATTCTTATCAGAGCAATACTCATGGTGTTTATTGGAAACACAAAGGTGTACTGGGACCAGGCAGCCTGTGCCAACAGCTGGGCAACTGGCCTGAGCACAGGACAATTCCTGATGGGAGTGGAATGATGGCATTAGGGGGTTGCTGGTTTGATTCCCAGTAAGTGTGACAGCAGCAGAACCTGTAGCTTCTATCCTGATCTCTAACCTCTGTTGATGGTTGTTTCCTAGGATCTGTTCAGTAAACAGAAGGGTTACCTGGATGAAGAGCTGGACTACAGGAAGCAATCGATGGATCAGGCTCATAAGGTAAGTGGGACCAGCTAAAACCACAAAAATACCAAAAGCACAACAACTACTATACCTGCGGGAAAAAAAAACAACAACAACAAATAAGCAACTGTGAGCAACAGATGCTTGTGTGTGTTTAAGGTGGTAGTGAGTGACATTTTTGCACAAGCACTAAAGTGGTTTGCTCAAGCCAAAGACACACACAAAACAAGATGTTTGTACTGAGGAGTGCTCCAGTGTAGCTGGTGCTGCGGAGACCAACAGAATAATTCCAAATGCTGGCTGACACCAGTCAGTGTGTCATATTAGTTGATTTGATGCCTTGAACTACTGCTGTGAAATTGTCTATAAGCAAACTGAACTAATGACAGTTTGTGAATTTGCACCATTATATAATTTTCTTGTTGCTTATTTTGACTCATTTCAGTCATCAAAAGAAATGATGTGCTTTTAAGGGAAGGCAAAAAAAAAAAACAGTAACGGCATTAAAGTCAGAGGTGCAGGTGGAGAGTTGTCGGTGAAAAATTAGGAGGGGAGGGGTCAGTTTGGTCAGGGAGCAGCTCTTTCATCTGGTCTGTGACCTCCAGAAGGGGACTGGGGAAGGTGAAGAGGATGAGTCTCCACAATGTTTGGGATGTGGGGTGGAGCTTCTTTCTCTGGACCCTGATGTCTCCTCCAGCAGGCCCTGAGGTGGCTCTCCATGGTTTCTGACATGTTGTGTTCTGTCTTCTTGGTGTTTTGGCCCTAACCATAGTCGCCCCCTGACTGAAGAGGGTCATTCAGCTGGTAGCATCGCAGATCTCTGCCCATTGGCCTCTGGTTGTTGCTTTTCCTCTTGTTTCCCAGGGCTTTATTCTTTTGTTTAGCACCAAGAGAGATCCAGGGAAGACTACTGCTTAAAGATATATTACAATGCAGAAAAACGTCCCATTTCTTAGTAACCTTGTTGGCACTAATTAGCTGTGAGTTAGCATCCTCCTATCCACTATTTTGAATCAACATTAAGGTGGTGTCATTCCCATACAGTCCAGTAACTTCCATGTTAATGTTAATCGACGAATCTTAATTTCAAGCACTGCATAATATACTTCGTTGAAGATTTCCTCATTTGTTGTAGAAAGACAGTTATTCATCTCAGTGATGCTGTGTCTGGACCACTACTTAATAGTTCTTTTGCATGGTTTGACAGTTATTAGCTTCCATCGGTATCCCAGCAGAAGAAGAAAAGTGTTGTGATCAGACTTTCCCAGCAGAGCTTTGCTTACTGAATGAAAGGCATGTGATATTATACAGAAGCACAGATCCTGTGTTTATCACCTCAAGTAGCCACAAAAATGTATTTTTTCAAATTTGGCAGTGCTTTCCTCTGGCTTATATGATTAGTCATCCAACACCAAAATTAATGAGTTAGGGTGTGAGTTTTCCAAGTCTGATATGGGATGACAGCAGCCAAAGCCTCTGCCTGAGGAGGAGTAAAAACTGCCACTAGTATGAAGGACCTGAATTCCCGCAGAGCACAAAAGGGAGGGTAATGGTAAGTGCCTCTTGTTCAGTTGAGTACAGCCATGACCAAGTTAAAAGGTCAGTACACCTCAAAGAAGCTGACTCCATCACTGCGCTGTTTCATAGATTCCATGGTACAATAAGCCTGGAGCAGAGTGAAGCCTTCCAGCTGTAGAGCCAAATAGGGAACAGTTGAGTTGAGCCATGTCTCAGTGAAACATCACTGAGCAATCACTGAAGTCTTGCTTCATCTCAATTAGCAATGTCAACTCATCGTGTTTGTTGACTACGGACAAAGTGTTTACAAGGGTTAGACTCAGTAGAGGTGCACGATGGCCTCGCTGTTTGTTCTACACAAGAACATGGGCCCTCCTTTCACCTTTCCTCACTCAGCAGCCATCTGGACGAGCAACACCATGTTATGATAGAATGGTGCCATCTTTGTCATCTTTTATGATAGATAGCATATTTTCTTACAGTAAAATGTTTGTCCCTGATACAGAAGATCCTGGAGTTGGAGGCCATGTTGTTTCAAGCTCTGCAGCAGGAGGAAGAGTCCAGGATTGAGGGATTAAAGATGCAGGAGGGTCCTCTGTCTGAAACACTGTCAGAGGAAGACAGGGAGGGGTTGAAGAGAGCCATGGACCAATGGAAACGAACAGTGATGTGTGAGCTGAGAGAGAGAGATGCCCAGATCCTTCGAGAGAGGATGGAGTTACTGCAACTCGCACAACAGGTAAACATTCAATGGGCAGGTGAAAGTTTAGCCGACAGGTAAACTGATTTAATGTCTCTCATAGGCAGGATTGTATACTTCATGCTGTTGTATACTTGACATTGTGTTTGACAGAGGAACAAGGAGCTGGAGGAGTTTATAGAAGCTCAGAAACGACAGATTAAAGAGCTAGAGGAGAAGGTATGGATAATTAGATAGACTAAAGTCTGTATGAAACATATAGGCAAAGTGTTAATCTAGTTTTCAGCAGCTCTTTGTCCACACTTTTTGTAAACAAAAAGTCTGCTTCCTGTGGCTTTCTACTGACTCTCCAATTGTTTTCTTGGTTTTCTTTTAGTTTTTATTTTTGTTTCTGTTCTTCTCTTTGGCCTTCATCCTCTGGTCCTAACAGCAGCTGGTGAGTAACAAAAAAAAAACAAGATTAAATGATTTACCCTAGGTATTTAGGGTTTCCCTCAGTTATACAAAGTTTACACCAGTCACACAGGGCTTACCTCATTTACAAAGGGTTTACTTCAGGTGTACAGTTTTCTAACCCTGCATTTCATTTAAAGAGCTATAAATGATTCTATACATACATTTTTTTATATTATTAATATTTTAAAATAGTCTTCATATCACATCAAGCAACAATGGTGGCATTTCATTTGCTATTTTAGTGTGTGTGATCTCAGCAGGCAGAGTTCAGCAGCTGAACACAGCGGGGGGTCAGCCCAGTCTGGATCAGACATGCAGTAGGACTCAGGGTTTGGGACCAGCAGCATGTTAGCTTCACTTCTCCTTGACTGGCCTTCAGCTGCTGTCAGCCAATCGGAACAAAGCCCAGCTGTCAGCTGACTCTAAAGAGTCACACCCTCCGAGAATGCCACTGTGCTGCCTCAGACAGAGAGATCATTTCTACACGGATGGATGAACATGGAGTTTCACTACAACTGGCGACAAACTAACTAACTTCTTGTTAGTGGCCAGAAAGTTCTGGTTTAGACGCCTGATATGCAGCTGATAATCACATTCTGGTTCAAGCAGGCAAACTGGACCAAAGTGGTGCTGGACTTCATACAGTATTAGCTGAGCTAACTGGACTTTTGTCAGACCTAACTAACTCTAATAGTGTTAGCTCTGGTAGCTGATTTTAAACACTGCTAGTTAAGTTAGCTAAATTTGTAGAGTTATCTAAATTAGTTGATTTCAGTGTTAAGGTAATAGTTTGGGTCTGTTACAGTGAACTAACCTGTTTGTGTTTAATGAAGCTGCAGTGCCAGTGGCAATGCTCAGTAAGGTACAGTAGAAATTTATTTAAGTGGTTGTGTGGTTCACACTTGAATCTCAGTATACCTGGAAAATATCAGAAACAATTTTGTGTCTGTATCAGTTCAGGGGAATTAAACTTTGTTCTGATTGGCTGTTCCACCTGCCAACTGGAGAGTGGCTTAACGGTGTAGCCCAGCTCCACTCATTGAAGATCACATCATGTAACTTCTGTGTTGTTTCAGCCCGTTTGGAACACCTTGGGACCAAAACTGACAAGACATCAGACATGTCTCCTGGACAAAACAAAATCATGGTCTGGTCTGAGAAGTTGAAGCATGAAGTCTGAAAGTTTGAAAAATGGTCATAACCCTTTGGGCAGAGACTAGCAAAGAGACATCAAAGACTTAGCAGTGACAACGGCCGACTGATGTCATCTGGGCCAAAAAGTGGCACTTGAACACACCACAGACTAGTGCCAGCAGCCAACTAGCACCTACATTCTGTGCCGATGTGACATAAATAACTCCCCCTACCAGCAGGTGGCGGTATCTGTATTCATCGTTCAGAAAGAGGAGAAAGAAGAGCTAGAACACAGAAGTATAAGCTATAAACAAAACACCTCCCGTTCAACACAGCTACTGTTCAAAGCTGCTTCTAATTGAGAATATGTCTGATAAGAAGTTGTAAAAGACAGTGCTGTTCTCTGCCCCTGATCTTTTGGTTGTGGAAGAAAAACAGGAGGTCATGGAGGTGTCATGGGGCTTAGAATCAATTTTAACCCAGTTTACCATCATCACGCTACAGAGTTTAGATGTGATGAAAACTGAAACCAGGTTCAGGTGATCAGATATAATTTGACATCTTACAGATACCTGTGAGTTTAAACTGATGAAAGAAAGTACAATATCAGTTCTTAATAAACATGACTGAATAATTGAGGATAATTTTGCAGAACTAAAAACAAAGTAATATTATAGTGCACAGTAAACTATTTATTACTATGATAAAAAAATTATGCATCTTTTGTTCTGCTACTGAAGGTAATCAGTTGTCATTTGAAAGATTCTGATTAAATGTTTAAAAACATTTAATATTTTGTAGTTTTATTAAAATTATATTTCTTTAGTTGAGATTTTCCTTTGAAAGTTTTATTCCTTGTCAGGCTTTTCTATTTTTATTTTCATGTTGGTATATTGTTTTAAAGTCAAATTCTATTTTAAATATTTAACTGATTATCTTTAGCACTAGAGTAAACAATTTATTTTTCTGTGTGACTTACTTTATGTTGGTCCTGCAGTGTCCTCAGTGTTTAACTATAGCCTCCTCAGAACACAACCACATTTTAAAAACTGGATCCTGCTGTTGTACTTTTATTATTCCAGATGATATTTTTCTATCTCTGCTGTGAGTCTAAACTCAGTGTACATCTGAATAGTCAACAGTTTGATGTGATTTCAGATTAAAAATGTTGGGAATGGGACTGAAGACAAAACTGTGCATTTTGTTGTTGATGAGAAAGTTTTTCACAAAATGGTCAGCAGAGCAGAGATTCAGACTTTAGGCACCAATTTGATTTGTATCATCGCATCCAGTATTCCTCCTCTGAAAAATTACAGGAACCTGTGTGAAATGGTTTGGATGGCTTATGATATTTGGTTTGGACATTCATAGTCAAATTGACACTGACTGTCTGCGTGGCATGTTTCATGTTTGCTACAGTGTGTCGCCACCTGGTGTGGCAGTTGTCTCTTGTACTTTACACTTGTTTTCTTATACGGCACATCAGATGTGGGGAACAGTCTCAAATACTGGCTATGAAGAACACCTGAATTAAGCCCTTAATCCAAAACCCATGTGTAATGGTGATTGAATATGCATATGCTTTGTAACTTTATTAAAAACACAGTGAGGTGGTAGATTGGAGGGGGTCCAAAAAAACGCCAGACTTTTATGAAGACAACTGAAAATCATGTTCAGTGTTGTGTTTTTAGTGTTTTGTGTGTTTTAACAGACCCCACACCCTTTTCCTAACCTTAGCCATCTAGTCTGTGTGCCTAAAGTCATAGTTGTGCCTAAACATAACTATACTTTTGCTTTCAATTTTTGAACATTGCAATGTCACAGTTTTCAAGGTGTTATGACAATAGTACATTTTATGTTGGTGGACCAACGTAGCTATTCCACATTTTGCTGTGAGACTGGGTTGTGTGGGACATGAAGGCCAAAGTGGTCCCTGTAAAGGTAGGAGCTGTGACCCCTAACTGGGAGAGTGGCTCCAACAGGAACAACATCATAGCTCTCTGTCCAAAAGACACAGTGTGTTTATGTGTCAGCGTGTGTGTGTCTACAGTATATACACAGTACAATGTGTCTGTATGTGAGATTCTGTCAGACAGGAAGGGACTCCTCAGTTTAAAACATGGGTGCTTTATATTAACATGGAGATAGATGTTATGGTCCACTGAAGGTGTGTGTTGGGGGTGGGGAGATTAGATGACTGACTTGAACACCAGGATGTCCTCAGTCAGTAAATAACCATTAACAACTAATACTGTGTGTTGTTCGTCTATGTGCTAGCCCTGCGATGGATTGGCGACCTGTCCAGGGTGTACCCCGCCTTCGCCTGATTGTCAGCCGGGATTGGCTGACAATCGGGAGGGGCGGGGCCTAACTCTAAATGCTTCTGCATTATCTGAAGGTGGAGATAAAAGCCAGTTGTCATAGAGAGGGTAGAAATGTGAGGTGCTTAACTTCAATTTTATTGCCTGGATGAAGTTTATTTTTTGACCTAGTTGTAGAAAATGAATGAATGAATGAATGAACTAATACTATGGTAAAATCAATAAATGGCGTGGTTCTGTGAAAAGAAGCATTTCCACAGAGACACTTTGGTGATCTTCGGACTTTGTTCTGAGGCAGAAACTGTTTTAGAAATTAAGGCTGAGAATCTGGAAACAGGACCGTTCTCATGGATTTCATTTGAAAAAAAGTGGTTCATAAAACCTGCTGTCTGATCTTGTCTGAAACTCTAAATGCTTCTGCATTATCTGAAGGTGGAGATAAAAGCCAGTTGTCATAGAGAGGGTAGAAATGTGAGGTGCTTAAGAATGGGGAAAAAAGCAGAGAGAGAGATGTTAAGCCCTGCCCACTTTCACACCTGCACACAGCTGATTTTGAAATAAAAAAGGTGCAGAGGGAGGGGTTTCTGAAGCTGTCCAATAAACACTGGATTTGTTGGGTTTTCCCTCTGTAATAATAGTGATAATAGTAATGTCTAGCTAGACCTGACTTTGTAAAGTGTCCTGAGATGGCTATTGTTGTGATTTGGCGCTATACAAATAAAATTTGATTGATTGACTGACACTTTGAACAGAGTGCACTTGCTTAACTTTCTTAGATCACTGAGAAACAGCCAGACTCCCAACACTGGCGTCGATTGTAAACTGTTCCAGTGTCATTCGCAACATAGTTTAGAGCTGTGTTAAAGATATTTTTGTTTAATATAAAGACACATCAGCAGCTTATCTAGACAACAGATACTTTGGTTGATACTCTGGTTCACAGTGTCACAGGTTCAACTGAGGCAGGATCTGGTCCGGGATATAACCTGCTAAGTGACCTCTCAGCAGTAAATTAAAAATGGAGGAGGCCTTCTCATTTCACATCCCATTTTCCTGCAATTTCAGGGAAAAACTGTTGAACTGCCAGTGTTGATATCAGATCAAACTCCTGTGAATTTGCTTGGACAAGATGCTTTGTGCAAGCTGGACTGTGACATTCGATGCACCCCAGCTGGGGTGGTGGTTGACAATGCACAGAGCCAAATGACTGAAAAAAGTGGAGGCAGTGGTCTACTGGCTTGGGGATATGAGTGACACCTTTATGGAATCAGCTAAAATATGGATGGACTTCATTAAAGCTAATTTGCCAGAAGCCTTGTCCCCTGCCTGTCGCCCTCACTGCACTGTCCAATATTATAAGTCTGAATCTAAAGCAAAATCAGACATTTGGCTTAAGGAACAGCCAGAGACGGTTCAAATACAGTCTTCTTCGATTGTGCAAGTAAGCAGGGAACGGCAATGGTAGTAGAGAGAGGTCTGTTTCTGGACCAAGAATTCAGAATAAAAAAACAACGTTCCACAAGTCACACTGTTGGTAAATGTCCAAGGTTTGGCTTGCCCCTTAAAATCAGTTCAGATAATGGGAAAGAAAATGTGGACAAGACAGTGAAATGTGTTTTGCAGAAACTAGAGATCAAGCAAAATTATGGCAGTGTACAGTGGAACCTTGAATTGCGAGTAACCCAGTTTGCAAGTGTTTTGCAAGATGAGCAAAAAATTTGATTCGATATACGAGCGAGGTCTCGCAATATGAGTAGTACATATGCTTTGTCTGCCGAGCGTCACGTAACGTATGTCACAACTGTGCCGATGGTTCTTGCACTTCACTCATATAGTCAATATGTGTACTGCACCAATGGCCCCTCATGCCAGCCATGATTCTTTTCAAAGGTAACGTGCAGCTTAATTTGTTTTATTTTTACTTTATACTGTATTTTGTATTACTGTAATAATTTTTATATGGATAAGTGGGTATGGAACAATTCATCTGAGTTTCCATTATTTCTTATGGGGAAATTCACTTTCTTATACGAGTGCTTTGGATTACGAGCACATTGCTGGAACGAATTATACTCGCAATCCAAGGTTCCACTGTATATTGTCCAACTTCACAGTCTGACATTGAGAGATGCAACAGGATCCTGAAAAACAAACTGCTTAAGATTTGCATGAGCACTGGCTTAAACTGGGTAGATGCTTTGCCGCTAGCGCTCATGGCATGCAGAGCAAGTGCCCACAGAATACTGGGGTTAACACTGCATGAGGCTTGGCTTGGCCGGCCAATGCCTTTGCCAGTGTACAGAGCAGTCTTTGAACATTTTGACAAATGATATGAAGTCGTATGTGAAGCAAATGACTAACATACACAAGAGTATCTCCTCCCGTGTTGGTTTCCTGCAGGCTAGAGAGGTCCAGGAGCATGAAGAGCCCAAAGTGAAACCAGGAGACTTAGTGTATGTTAAGATGTTTAGGAGAAAGTGTGACTTTCCTCGAATAGAAGGTCCATACGAGGTGGTCAGTGCAACCGCCCGAGCAGTGCAAGTGAAAGGTTCACCTACGTGGTATCACCTGAACCACTGTGTGAAGGTCCCTTCACGGACAGTTCAGATCCAAAGCCAAGCAGTGCCAAAAGAAGAAATGAACATCATCTGGAGCAGCAGCCAGTGTCTGAGGGGAGTGAGCTTGATACTCCTCTTGACAATGATGCTGGTCATGATCCAGCTGTGCTCCCATCTCCTTGACTCTCCAGAGGAGGGAGAGCAAGGGAGAGGTGATGGAGGTGTGGTAAGAAGTAAAAGGGCTGCAGTTAAGGAATGGCCAGGGGTGCAAGAGTGGACATCGAATGGCAAAGACTGGAGGTATATGGAGAACGATACTTGGGTTGCGCGCATGTCTAAGCAATCCTGGACTTCTAACATAGACACTTTTGGTCTCTTTGTGTACTCAGACCAAATACCTGGAAGACTTGTGTGTGGAAGCGAGTGGATTTCTGGATGGTGGACCAGCAGACCGCATGACTCTTGGGGACAAGATCAGTGTTCCATCAGAGTGAGGGAAAGAAGTTAATTGGCAAGATGTTTGGGTGGTTAGAGTAGAATTTAAGCCACCATTGGGATTGGGACAGTGAAATGAGACATATTATGTCACATGGAGTAAAGTTATAAACAGAATGTCAGATGCAATTGAAGAATTTGTAGTCCTGCAACCCACAAGTGGACCAGTACAAAACAGTAGATCAATTGTTGCTAAGCCTTGGGCTGTAACCGCTAAACCAGCTAAACTGCTGTGAGGAGTGCTGAGCCTGAAGGAACGGGCGGTAACTCCAATAGTAGTAGATTAGATTGGGTCTGCAGGACAGCGGCTGACTGGGCTGACGGTTTCAGGCCAGGAGTAAAAGGAGTGCCATTTGATCAGTGGGACAATTATGCAGAGGAGGAAGAGCATGGTCTTGGTAACAGTTTGGAACAAAATAGCTGGTACAGGTGGGTTCAATTTGCAGGATTACAGTGCCTTGCGAAAGTATTCGGCCCCCTTGAACTTTGCGACCTTTTGCCACATTTCAGGCTTCAAACATAAAGATATAAAACTGTAATTTTTTGTGAAGAATCAACAACAAGTGGGACACAATCATGAAGTGGAACGAAATTTATTGGATATTTCAAACTTTTTTAACAAATAAAAAACTGAATAATTGGGCGTGCAAAATTATTCAGCCCCTTTACTTTCAGTGCAGCAAACTCTCTCCAGAAGTTCAGTGAGGATCTCTGAATGATCCAATGTTGACCTAAATGACTAATGATGATAAATAGAATCCACCTGTGTGTAATCAAGTCTCCGTATAAATGCACCTGCACTGTGATAGTCTCAGAGGTCTGTTTAAAGCGCAGAGAGCATCATGAAGAACAAGGAACACACCAGGCAGGTCCGAGATACTGTTGTGGAGAAGTTTAAAGCCGGATTTGGATACAAAAAGATTTCCCAAGCTTTAAACATCCCAAGGAGCACTGTGCAAGTGATAATATTGAAATGGAAGGAGTATCAGACCACTGCAAATCTACCAAGACCTGGCCGTCCCTCTAAACTTTCAGCTCATACAAGGAGAAGACTGATCAGAGATGCAGCCAAGAGGCCCATGATCACTCTGGATGAACTGCAGAGATCTACAGCTGAGGTGGGAGACTCTGTCCATAGGACAACAATCAGTCGTATACTGCACAAATCTGGCCTTTATGGAAGAGTGGCAAGAAGAAAGCCATTTCTTAAAGATATCCATAAAAAGTGTCGTTTAAAGTTTGCCACAAGCCACCTGGGAGACACACCAAACATGTGGAAGAAGGTGCTCTGGTCAGATGAAACCAAAATCGAACTTTTTGGCAACAATGCAAAACGTTATGTTTGGCGTAAAAGCAACACAGCTCATCACCCTGAACACACCATCCCCACTGTCAAACATGGTGGTGGCAGCGTCATGGTTTGGGCCTGCTTTTCTTCAGCAGGGACCGGGAAGATGGTTAAAATTGATGGGAAGATGGATGGAGCCAAATACAGGACCATTCTGGAAGGAAACCTGATGGAGTCTGCAAAAGACCTGAGACTGGGACGGAGATTTGTCTTCCAACAAGACAATGATCCAAAACATAAAGCAAAATCTACAATGGAATGGTTCACAAATAAACATATCCAGGTGTTAGAATGGCCAAGTCAAAGTCCAGACCTGAATCCAATCGAGAATCTGTGGAAAGAACTGAAAACTGCTGTTCACAAACGCTCTCCATCCAACCTCACTGAGCTCGAGCTGTTTTGCAAGGAGGCATGGGCAAAAATTTCAGTCTCTCGATGTGCAAAACTGATAGAGACATACCCCAAGTGACTTACAGCTGTAATCGCAGCAAAAGGTGGCGCTACAACGTATTAACTTAAGGGGGTTGAATAATTTTGCACGCCCAATTTTTCAGTTTTTTTATTTGTTAAAAAAGTTTGACATATCCAATAAATTTCGTTCCACTTCATGATTGTGTCCCACTTGTTGTTGATTCTTCACAAAAAATTACAGTTTTATATCTTTATGTTTGAAGCCTGAAATGTGGCAAAAGGTCGCAAAGTTCAAGGGGGCCGAATACTTTCGCAAGGCACTGTAGATGTGATGATAGGGGAAAGAAGTGCAGTGCTGGGAATGCCACATGGTGTTCCATTGTTACCTGTAGGACGTTTTGTTTGGGTTGAGAAGACAGGAGCTGTACCTGTAGGGAGAGTCTTGACCATTGTAGCTACAAGTGGAAGCTGGACACACTGAACTGTACAAAGCCAAACTTGCATCCAGCTCCCCAGTTAAAAGGAAGCTCACTGCATGTGCAGGTTCCAGGGTGTCCTTATTTTGATCAAAATATAGCATTAGCTGATCACTTTTGATGGTGTGGTGGACAACATTTGTATTCAGTTCTCCCAATCAACTGGGAAGGTAGATGTGCTAGAGTACAGGTGGCTCAGGAGTTGATCACACTTTGCCTCGGTAGAGCAGGTTAAGAATGGTAGTGCCAAAAGCAAGAGAGCATATTCTCCAGATCCCAGAGTGTATCTTGACTCAATCTGCCAGCCAATCCCAAATGAGTTTAAAGCCAGACATGAGATTGCATCAGGGTTCAAGCCTATCTTTCCGTGGATAACTTCTAATAAA